GATGCTATTTTAACCAAATTTCCTAATGAAATATCTCTAAAGTTGGCTACTTTTGAGTGCGTGTTAGGAGTCTAATTTTATACATTAGTAGTGATTATTAATGTGTAAAAGAAGATAAAAGCCCCAAGTTAAGATAAGAGTGTGTCATATCTCTTAACACCAACTTGGTTTATCCCTTCACTTTATTTCTGCCCATTTCATTCCTCACCATTTCTTCTTCTTAAACTTATTCTTTTCTCTCATTAAAAACACCAAAAAGAACTCTTTCCCACACTCCATATTTCATCCCTTCAATTCCATCATCCATTTCCTTCCGCAAATCCGCCACAAAATAGCTACTCGATAAGACCCCGGGTCTCGGGTACAACATCTGGTATCAGAGCTCAACTTCGACGACTTTCTCAAGTCTCGACGATTACTGGAGGACCAGCTTCACCCATGTTGCACAAAAACAAGGCTGCTTCAAATTGCTCCTGAAAATCTCAGCTCCAAAACAGTGATCACGGAGGAAGGTGCAAAACTAGTTTCGACGTGAAATTTTTCTGTCTGAAAGTTCAAGCTTTTATCTACGTCTGGCCGCTGATTTCACTCAATTTGGAGTTGTGGTTAGCGAGATACGCCCTTCCAAAGTTGACAATGCAGTCCTATCCAAATGATGTCTAGCTTGCTTCTTTTGTCTCCAACGAGGTAGCACACATACTTCAATGGCTCTGAAATTTTGATATGTCTTTATGGACTTAAATATCTAACTTATAGAGTTGGAATCACGACATTCCAATCTCTGGTCGTTGAGATATGGATATCCAAAGATACTTCAAAAATCTTGAGATTATTTATGCAAATGAGGCAATCCTTCAAGGACCTATCAAACGGTGCTACATGTGCTGTGGCTATGGCCATCATTATTGGAGGTGCACAAATAAAGAAGCCATTCCTTATGAAGAACATGTAAGGATCATAGAAGCATATGAGAATCAACAGGATGGCAATTACGAAGATGTCTTTGATTACCATGTCAAAGATGAAGAAGATGTCTTCGTAGAAGAACCAACTTCTAAGGCACAAGAAGATTCAATCCTTATTGATTCTCTACTTAGTTGTGAAAACTTCTTTGAAAAGGATGTTGAAGAGAAAGCTCCACTAGGTGATATATGTTTTAAGGAAGTTGTTTCCTCAAAATATTATCATCTAATTAGTGACGAAGAATCTCATCCAATCATTGAAGATTATGTGAAGGAGGTTCTATGAACAGTGATTACATTTTTCCGGACAGTACAAAAAGAGGTGCCAACTTATTCCGGAAAGAACCTCATCATTGGTGGTTTCTCAAGTTTCCCATTTGAT